ATCACAAAACGTCTGCCATGGCAGGGCAACCCCAAAATGCTGGGACTAGAAATGAGTATGAACCGGCTCACAAACTAAAGTTCATGACAAATTTTGGCCGGTTCATGGTTCATGAAATGAAGTGTTCATGACAGGTAAACCAGCACAAACATTCCACAAACTTTCCAGCTTTTAGTGGAGGCTACTGCTGGTTCGTGAACAGATACATCTCCAGACAGACTGTCTCCGCTCAGTCTAAATGTTTACACAACTTCAAAACAACAGGGGGGTGGAACTTGGAGGGCATGTAGAGGAGCATCTGGAAGAGGTCCCCTGTGACTTTTATGTCTCTAGCTTGCACAAGATCTGTTCTATAAACTTCTGAAACTCCTGAACCTATGCCTGTCAAAATGACCGCTGACAGGCACAGGTTCAAGAGATTCAGGAGTGTATAGAACAGATCCTGTACAAGCTAGAAACACCAAACCCACTAGGTGTCAGCTATGCTGCCATGAAGGTTGGGGAGTTTGGTCTGTATCTGGTTAATTGCTATTGCTTTCCTTTCAGGTTAATTGCTACTGCATTCCTTTCTGTGCTTTCTCTGCTGTGTGCCGAAATGCTTATCTATACAGATGTGCAGGAGGGTGTTGTGGTGTCTGGGTTTTCCCTAGGTGTCATGGGAGAGTGTTCGTTCTCAGCTTCAGCTACCTAACGGTCTCTAAGCTTTATCTCGCACGTGGGAGGGTGCCTAATTGGCCAGTGCTGGGGGGGGTGCATACGAATACCCTATATCCTATTATGCCCAAGGGGCCGCCGCCATTCTTAACAGTGCCTATGTTACTGCATCTATAGCTCTGCAATAAAAGTATAACTGTTCCTGAATGCATGTACTTCATTGTTGGCTGTGGGTTCTGACACTAGGGATCTCTGGCTGACTCTGCCTGCCCTCCAAGTTTGGTGAGGATTGGATTTACGGGGTCCAAGTTATGGCAATCCACAGAAGGTGCCCCCAGGAAAGTGCTTTCTGGGGAAATTACTGCCTGTCATTGGGGGGGGGGAAATAACTTGGACCCCATAAATCCAGTCCTCACCAAACCTAGAGGGCAGCTAGAGGAGAGTCATCTGGAGATCCCCTGTGAGTTTGGTTTTCCTGACATCTTCTGAGGGAGGCATTTCAGCTTTTTGCTTTGTAGAGGAAGAAAGTGGGCCCGAGGAAACAATCAATGGGCAAGATGTTGCCCATGGGCACCATGTTCGGGATCACTGCCTGTAAGTAAACAGCAGCCTGAAGATGAGATCTGGAGGGCTGCCATCTCTGGGTTGGGAAATGCCTGGAGATTTGGGGGAGGGAACACAACAAGGAAAAGATGATGGAGTCCACACTGCCGTTTCCTCCAGGGGAACTGATCTCTGTGGTGTGAAGGTCAGTTGTTTGTTTATTGATTGATTGATTTGATTTATACCATGCTCTCCCCACCAAGGCAGGCTCAGGGCAGCTAAGAAGGCCATATTGGCATTCATAAATAGTAAAACAATAAAACACTTTATACAAAAACAATTCAGATCGTTTCAAATACAGCATACATAAGATGTCAAAGCTGTCCAATTGGCTACCATAAGAGAAAACAGCGACTGGTGTCTAGTTCTCTAGCGTTTTGTTCTATAGTACAAGGGCATAGATGTTAAACAGGTGGCCAAAGTAATTTGAAAAGGTAGATTTCATGGCTTGATGGTCCTGAGAGAACTGGCAACCCTAAGAAGGAAGTATTTGATTGTTGTTCATGTGGAACAGGGGTGAGGCTCTCCATGGAGGTTCTTTTCTCCTTCTCCTCCAAATACCACACCCTTACCTGTCTCCAATGAGGGCTTTGTTATTAGGAATGGAGTGCGAATTCTGGACAGCTTGACCTCATTGGTACAGGCGGGTCCCAAAGGAACGAGAAAAAAGCCAGTGTGATGTTGCAGGAGCCTCCGGGCTGATTGGGTGTGGTCTTCAGAGGAGGCAGCAGATAATGATCCTGGTAGCCCAGTACTGCCTTTCCCCATAGATCCCAGCCTCCTTTCCCCCACCCCCTTATTACTGCCATTCCAACCCCACCCCTGAGCCGGCCTTGGCTGGGAGTGCAGGGTAGAAGTTTTAATAATAATGATGATGATGATGATGATGATGATGATATTCCCTGCAAGTCGAAGTATTGTGAGGTCTATTCCTTCATCCCTTTTGCTATTGCACTATTGGCGGCACCAAAATGATTTTTATTACCATTTCTGCCAGTGATACATATGAAGGTTCAATATGCTCCATCAGATCATTGGTCTACCGAGGTCAGTCTTGTCTATTCAGACTGGCAGCTGCTCTCCAAGGTCTCAGGCAGAGGTCTTTCTACTTGATCCGTCTTCACACTGATTCTCTGCCGCTGAGCCATAACAGTCCCTTTGATGCTGAATGGAGTTTATCCATCATACTACAAATATCCAGTTCTGTTTGCATAGTTAAGTGTGGGGTGGTCGCCATTTGTGCTGCCTGTGACTGTGTGATATAGAAGGTAGTGAGCTTTTAAAAAATGAATCAAAGATGTGTATACATAAACAGAAGGAAGGGGGAAATTGCTCATTGCTCAAGATCTATTGATCAGAGGAGCTCTGGAAAGGAAAGGAAAGGAGAAAAAATGATGATGATGATGATGATGATGATATTCCCTGCAAGTCGAAGTATTATGAGGTCTATTCCTTCATCCCTTTTGCTTTTGTACTATTGGCGGCACCGAAATGATTTTTATTACCATTTCTGCCAGTGATACATATGAAGGTTCAATATGCTCCATCAGATCATTGGTCTATCGAGGTCAGTCTTGTCTATTCAGACTGACAGCTGCTCTCCAAGGTCTCAGGCAGACGTCTTCTACTTGATCCGTCTTCACACTGATTCTCTGCCGCTGAGCCATAACAGTCCCTTTGATGCTGAACGGAGTAATAAAGGGAAACTAATAGTCAGTGTATTTTTTGTTTGTAGTGAAGGACTGGGTGCTGTCCCATGCCTTAGTCTCCGGACTGCATGGCAAGACAGCTAAATAGTCAGACCAAGCTTTCTTCCTGTGGTTACTCTTCTGTCACTGTCCGATATGTAGAATGCTCCTCTTGGGGAACTTCCTCCTTCCTTCTGCTCATCCTCTACCACAACACATTTCTCCTTGCACATACCAAGAGGAAGAACACAGTGTCCCCATCTTGACACCATGGTGCAGATGGCCCTCAAACCATCTGCATCTACCCATAGTAAGTTAGACTAGTATACTATCACTATCTCTAAGCTTTTCTGTCTAGAATGTAGTTCCTAAATAAAGAGACTATTATTAGTCTTCAAACTGTAGAGTGGCTCTGTGTAACTCTGTAACTAGGCTGGGATACCTGGAACTAAGTCGCTGCTGCATGTGTGCTTGAAGCACTCTGCTAAACTAATCAGTGGTAACTGGACTAACTATACTGGTTAATTTTACCAACTATGTTGACACCAAAGCTACATGGAAGGCATGAAGCCCCCGATGTTACACTCTCTTTGTGAGTCCAATGTCTTGTATTCCCTTCTGGGGAACGACTGTGGGGTGGCAGTGTGTCAACCTCGCCTGCTTTTTCCGGGCTTGGTTGAGTGATCTCCAGCCCTCACCTGGAGATTGGCAACGATGGTTCGCCAGAAGGGAATAGTTAGTTTGGAGGGTGGAGTCTATGGCTTTGTACCTGTCTGAGGTCCCACGCCTCCTGAAACCTCACCCTCTCCAGGCTCCATTCCTCACATCTCCAGGAATTCCCCACCTGGAGTTGGCAACCCTATGTCCTTCCCAGCCAATTATCAACCTACCTTTATTTCCCCCTCACTCTTCAGCTTTCCACCCCCCACACACCTGCAACCTCTCCCATGCTCTGAAGCCCTGACTGCTACGTCACATTGGCTGTCATACGGGGGCCACCTCAGCAGCATATAAGGATACAGAGCCCACCATTTTCTCCAGGGGAACTGATCTCTGCCATCTGGAAAGCAGTTGTAATTCTGAGTGATCTCCAGCCCTGACCTGGAGATTGGACACATTTTTCCTCAGAACAGCAAAACTGTTTAGAATGTTAGAGGCAAAAGCCAATCAAGTCGCATATGCAAACGACCTCTGTGTTCTGAGGCAGACGCCAATGAGGCTGCATATGCAAATAACTTCTGTGTTCTGACTGGCTATGGGGGGGAGAGGAATAGCAAAATGTTTAGAATGTTGGAGGCAGGACTCAGGCAAAGCAGCCAGTGGATAGGGAGACCCTCTGAATGACAGATCAGAGAGCGAACTGATTTTGGAGCGTGTGGAATGTTCTGCCACCACCATTTGGCTTTTATTTATAAGGGAGATTCTATCTCTACATGCCCGTCCCCCACTATGATCCCCCAAGGTTGCTGCATTCTTCATGGTACAATCTTTTGGTGGTGCCCAGCCCTCGAATAGCTTGCCTCTCTTCCACCAGAGCCTTCTCTGTGATGGCAACCGTCCTGGTGGAATGCTCTATCAGAGGACATGCAGGCCTTGTTAGTTTCTGCCCAGCTTGCAAGACAGAGCTCTTCCAACAGGCCTTTAATTTGTCATTGTGTATGTCTTGCAATTCTTTTTGCAAATAATTTTACTATTGGGTTCTTGGATGCTGCTAAGTTTTTAAATAGGAGTTTTATGTCATTTATTTAAAATTGTATCTTACACTTCCATTATTCCTACTGCTTTTAATATTGTATATTGAATTGTATTTTATTTTGTTATAAGCCATCCCAAGCAATAAATAAATAAATAAATAAATAAATAAATAAGCCATCCCAAGCCATAAAATAAATAAATACATCCTTTCAGTGTTAGGAGATGTTTGCATTTCATTGCAGTAAGGTTTTCGGGGTTTTTTTGGCTATTGTTACCAAATACCAAATGTATTAGCCAGCAAACTGCAGTTTTCACATCAACGAACTAAGATATTAAGCTTTTTGTGTTCTTCACGAACAGGTGACGTTTTCTATAGAAGCAAATACCTCCGCAGCGATACTTACAACCGCAATGTTGAAGCCAACAGAATTGTGGTGTCAGAATTTGGAACGATGGCTTATCCAGATCCGTGTAAAAACATATTTGCCAAGTAAGCAGCACTGGCATGTTCTTTACCTCCGAATTTCCCCTTTCTGTTTCCTTGTCAAGATGCCTTATGTGTCTTACCCATGCGATTCGCTTCTTCTCTTCCTTTCCTGGCTTCTTTCTGTCTGTGTCAGATTCAAAACCCATGGCTGGGGACTGGGGGCCCAAATTTCTTGCCATGTGGGAGACCCAAAATTGGATCTTTCTGTCACCAGAGGGGAGGGAGTACACTGCATTAGAGCAGCAGTGATCAACAACGGAAGCTTAATCGGTCCTTCCCCCTTAGAATCACCCTTCCAAAGTTACTATTTGCTATGATTGTTGGGGGAGGAGACAGATACGCATAGCACTGGTCTCCCCCCCCCCCCAACACACCCCTTATGACTGCTAATAGCATGTTGAGATGGGAGGAAATGGATTGCAGGAGAAGATTAGACTTCCCTTCTCCTCCAGGGTCATGGCTCTAATTCAGTTTCTCACCCCGTCATGGACTGGAATGCCGGAACCTCCTTGCTGAGGGGAGAACCCGAGGACTCAGAGGAGGAGGATCAGGCCCTGGAACAGACCCAAGAGGCAAGTCTTCCTCCCCAAGCATGGCAAGAAGCTTGAGAAACCAGATCATCTCTCTCATGGTGGGAGACACCTCTGCCCTCCTACCCGCTTGGAACCCCCTGTCCCAGAACTAGCTGTAGCCCCAACAGCCTTGTCTCAATGGCACCTCAAGAAGGCAAGTGCTCTGGATGTGTTCCCAGGGCTGCTACAGCACCTTGTCTCAAACTCAGCATTTAATTCTTAGCCAGCAAGAGAGGCAGGGCGTGAGTCTCTGCACCCTCTGTAGGACAGCTTAAGCCTCATGGTTAGTCCTCAGGTGTCACTGGGACAACCTGCGAGGCTCCCTAATTGCCTGTGTGCAGCCGAAATATGCATGTCACTGTTCTGTCAGACCAGGGAGACCTTGCCTTGCTTTGCCTGTTTCTCCGTGGATTTCAACTTAGATCAATACACCCCACCCCCTCCCTTCCAACTTCTTTTTAATCTTAAAGAAAATATTAGACCAGCAAGTCATGAAGCTGCCTTATACTGAATTTATTATTTTTTTATTTATTTACATTGTATTTATATACCGCCCATAACCCATAATGGGTCTCAGAGCGGTTTACAGTATACTACTAGTATATAGTAGTAGTTAACCTATCTAGGGCCACATACATTTCATAGGGGGGGACTACCTACCGACACCCTGTCGGCGGCGCGTTATGTCTTCTTCCGGCGGGCTATGGATATTCTTCTGGCGTCTTGTTCGGGTTGACCGGCGACCACCTCAGGCAGGCTCGATGTTTTTCCTCTTCGGCGTGCGACTGCTTTTCCGGCTGCAGCTTCCGGCTTACGTCCTTCAGGCTCCTGCCGTGCTACGCCGTCTTGCACCCGCATCGCCAGGAACTCCACCGCCATTGTTGTTGCTACCGCTGCCGTCTCCATTTCCATCGCCGCCGCCGCGGCCAACACTCCTGGCACAGAACCAGGAGGTGGGTGCCCCCTGCCACCTAGGGCAGGTACCCATTTATCTACTTGTTGTTACCTTTCGAACCGCTGGGTTCGTCCATCAAGGTCAAGCTGGTAGTGTCTTGCCACATTCACAGGAAGAGGTCTTTCACATCAGCTGCCCTCTGATTCTCTCTCTCTTTCTCTCTCTCTCTCATTGCGATTTTTAAAAATTTTTAAACTGTCTTTATCAGGCCTATAGCCAAGATTTCTAAAGTCGGGGGGATTTACATTTTGAGGGGGCACTGGCTAATCAAATTAAGGGAATACCTGGCTCCTTCCCCACACCTGCCACCGCTCGGGGGCCCTGGGCTGGATGGGAAGTCGCGGGGCCACACCAGTAAGTTAGGGGGCCTAGCCCCAAGATGCCCCACTGTAGCTACAGGCCTGTTCTTTACAGGGATTGCTTCCTATCATGTAGCTAACTCATGACAGAAATAAAGCCAGATACTTTTAACTGGGGGTTGAAACTGGGACCTTCTGCACAGAAAACAGAGGCTCTAACACTGAGCCATGGCCCGGGGCCCAGTCAGAGCTTATCTCATGTAGGGCATAGTCAAGATCTGTCCCTTTTTATGGTGGCTGGTATGTTTTGAGGTGTTTAGAAGTTCTGTTCATCCATAATTTCACAAATCCCAGCTTCCAGGAGCCTCAGGAGCCCGAGGAACTGGAGTTCGCAGTTGGCCCCATGGCTGCTGAAGAGGGTGGAAAGCAAGTATTTACCTCCTCATGCGTAGAGGTTAGCAAGGCCTGGCCACACAAATGCTCCATTCTAGTATCGGGGCTGTGCAATTTCTCCTGGATAGATAAAAGCAGCTTTTTTGTTTTGTTTGTGTTATGTGGCAGAGAACCATCTTATGGTTCAGGAGAACACTATTTTAGATATTGAAAGGTGTGCAGATCTGTGGAATGTCACATGAAAGACAGGTTTCCTGGCTTCCATTTCCCTAAACACAAATTTTGGAAACTGGTGACACTGCAGTTGTGGAACACACACCCCAGGGAGGCCAGCCAGACTGCTTCTTTACTTAGCTTTAGGCTGCAATTGAAAATGTTCCTGTTTACCCAGGTCTTTGGCACCTGGTGCTTTTGTGATGTTGAACAATGCAATATTCTCTCTCTCACTCACTTCCCGGTAGACATGCATAGGCTTACCTGCTACTTAATTAACTGTGCATCGAGTTGATTACGAGAATCAATAATGCAGGACAACAACAACAAAAGTTGCTTTCGTTAAAATAAATAGAATGCAGATGTTGTTACCTTGCATTTTAATTAAAAACCTAAGGTTTCTTTCAGGAGTGAAATTGACTATACCTGAAGCTGTGGTGGACTTTGCTTAGTCAATTTCACGACTCTTTGTTTTAGAGAAGTGGTGCTTTTCAGGCATTAGGTGTAATGTATTCATTGAATGCATGATGTATGTGAAACATCTAATTGACTTGCCATGTTGAGCTTCGTCCTGGGCTAGGATCCAAATCCATCCAATCGCATTGCTAGCCCAGGAAGCATCTAGCCAATCACTTTACAGCAAGCTCCCTGAGCGGGAACGTCCGTGATTGGTCCTTATATGAACAACCGTATTGGTTGGTATTTGTACAGTGGGTGTGGCTACATTAGCCGGGAGAGTTTAAAAGCAGGACAACTGCAATGTAGAAGCTGAACTGTTCTGTTCTGGCTATCAGATGTTGATCCGTGTTGGAGTTGTGTTCGAGTTGAAGAATAAAGCTGTGTTCTTGCTGAATCACTCTCCGACGTCTTTGTTAAGCGAGCGACTTAACATTAGGAAAATTCCAGCAACATATTCCCCTGTTCATGCTCCCCATTACGTTTCACAGTTCTCAGGCTTCGGATACTCTGTCAGTGCTAGGGCCGCAGTAGTAATAAGAAGAAACACTTGTGTTGCTGTGCAGAAGTAATCATCTGCATACAATCGTAGCAAGGAGCAGGAAATTGTGTAATATAAAGATGAGACGAGAGCAGGTGCCAGATCTTTCAGCCATTCCAATGGGTGTGGATGAGTATTGCCAAGCATAGTTGTTTGTGCACAGAAATGCAATACTAAGTTACCCAAGTCTTACGATTTCCATGCCAGGTGCAAATTTGGCTCATAAAGCAATATGGTGTGTTGTGTTTACAGATCCTCTAACAGACAATAGTAAAAAGAAAAAGGAAAAACAAGCAGAACTGGTGGGCATTGAATTGGTGCTTTCATTGTTTCCCATCATCCTGCAATCCCCAAATATCTTTGTTTCCAAGTACAGTGTAAGGGTATATCCACTAGAGCAGGGGTCCTCAGCCGTGTTGAACCTGTGGGCAAGTTTGGAATTTTGAGAAAGGATAGAGGGCTGACACCACAAAATGGCTGCCACGGGAGGAGAGACCAATCACAAAATGGCTGCCATGGAGAGCAGTCGCAAAATGTCGGTGGGTTCCAAGCCGAGGATCCTACAGCAATGAAGGAAGCTGTTTATGAATGGGTGCTCCTTGAGGACTCAAAGGAGATGCCTCCTAGACTCTTCTGAAGCACTTCCTGCTCCAGTGAGGTAAAGGAAAGTCAGGAATGGCTCTTTGCTTTGGTGAAGAGGTGGTTTGCAGAAGAAAGACGTCGGTGCCATTACACACACCATGGTGCTGGGTGAGTGTCACATTGGGGATCACTGCCCAGGGCATGCCAGTTTTTCTTCCAATATATAATTATGTCTACGTGAGTGTCACATTGGGGATCACTGCCCAGCCAGGGCATGCCAGTTTTTCTTCCAATAAATAACGATGTCTAGAGTGAATGCTTATCATCACTGCAGTGATGATGAGGTGGCATGGCACAGAAGCTAAGAGAGGGAGTAGTGATCCAGGGATCCCTGGTTCAAATGTTCCCTGTGCCTTGCTCACTTGGTGCCTTTATTTATTTGTGTATGTATTTATTTATTTCATTTGTTCCCCACCTTTCTCCCCAATGGGGACTCAGAGCAGCTTACAGCTTTATTCTTGCTTCCTCTATTTTATCCTCACAACAACCCTGTGAGGTAGGTTACACTTGGAGAGGCACCAGCCCAAGGTCACCCAGACAGCTTCCATGGCAGAGTGGGGATTCAAACCCGGGTCTCCCAGATCCTAGTCTGACACTGTGACCACTACACCACACGGGCTGCCTTAGTGACCCTGCCCATCTGTAGTATGTGAACAATAACGCCGGACTACCTTACCGTGCTGTTGTAAGGGGTCACGACCAGGTGATGTGTGCAAAGTATTTTGAATACAGAAAATGCTGTACACATGCCATTATTGTGATGGGATGTTTGTTTCCCCAAATGTAGGGCCTTCTCTTATCTGTCCCACACAATACCTGAATTCACGGACAACTGCCTGATCAACATCATCAGAAATGGAGAGGATTACTATGCCAGCAGTGAAGTCAATTTCATCAGGAAAATTGATCCTCAGACTCTGGAAACTCTAGAAAAGGTGAGTGTGGGCTGCTTGTGTTTACATGGCATTGTCAAAATGCGAGCGAATAAAGGTGGAGAGGGGACTCAGCAAAGATGTACTCAAAAGGACTGCCTGAGAGCTGTATGGGTGGAAAGTTTCACACTAGATGGTCTTCTGTCCTTTCTATGTTTACACCACCCTTCAGGGTGAGCCGCCATGGTGCAGTGGTTAGTGTCAGACTAGGACCTGTAAGATCCACGTGCAAATCCCCACTCTGCTGTTTAAGATCTTTCAGTCATCTTGGGCCAGTTATGCCCTCTCTCATCTAAGCCTGCCTCTCAGGGCTCATTGTCGTGAGGATCAAATGTAGGAAGCATGAATGAAGTTGTCGGCTGCTTTGAGTCTCCATTGGGGAGAAACACAGGTATGAATATCTAAATCAGGGGCAGCCAAACTTGCTTAGCATAACAGCCACACAGAATAAACGTCAGATGTTTGAGAGCCGCAAGACACAAACAAATATCACACACCCGTTTTTATTGGAAAATATGCAAATTTGCTTTTTATTAACATTAAAGTGGACTGTGTGAAAGAGCCATGTGCGGCTCTCGAGCTGCAGTTTGGCCACCCCTGATGTAAATTAATGAATTAGGAGTGGTGCACCTGGCTCTCTCATCCATTTTATCCTCACAATAGACCTGTGATTAGACTAAGTTGAGTGACAATAATGGACCCAGTGAGCTGAGTGGAGATTCGACTCCAAGCTCCCAAGTTCATCTGATACTATCATCACTCCACTGCACTGGCTTAGGTTCTGCTCCATTCCATCCTGTGTCTACCACATTTGACCCTTGAGATCACACGTCCCTTATGCTCTGATTCCATTCCTTTTAAACCTGAAGGGTCTGAACGGTGTGTTCTTTTTAAAATCAGTGTTTTAGTCATTAGGCGGCTCACTGAAGGTGCAAACCTGTTTGTCGACAATGAAACCAGAAGTTTCTGGGATGTGGCTTAAAAGTCGTGAGTGCATTTCCCATCATCCTTGCTTGTGTTTTGTCTTCTCCGGTTCCACGTGGTAGGTTGACTACTCCAAGTATGCAGCCGTCAATCTGGCAACAGCCCATCCTCATTATGACAGTGCTGGGAATACTCTCAACATGGGCACCTCCATCGTCAATAAGGGAAAGACAAAATACATTCTCTTTCAGATCCCCCCTTCAGCACCAGGTAAAAGACAAACGGGGGTTAGGCTTTTCTCTGTTTTTTTGAGTTAGGATGAGATGAGTTAATGTTTGTACTGTGAACAAAGTTTGAGTCAAGTGACCTCTTTAAGACCAACAAAGTTTTATTAAAAGTACAAGCTTTTGTGTGCATGCATACTTCTCCAGATGCAATGAAATGGAAGTTACCAGTGCATACAACTAGGTAGAGGGTGTGTCGGAAATTAGCATACAGCATATTAAAGTTGTTTGACAGATGCAAGGACCAAAGTGGAATAAGAAACATAGTTTATATGTCACCATTTGTTTGGGTTTAATTCCGGGGGGGAGGGGGAGAACATAGTGAAGGAAATAAATATATCAAAATAGGAGATTGATGGACAGATGTGCCTTCTTAACTGTGGAATGCTGAGAGTAAGTAACTGAGACCGTGCTGTCACTAAGCTTGTTATTCCACTTTGGTCCTTGCATCTATCAAACAAATTTAATATGCTGTATGCTAATTTGCTGCTCACCCTCTACCTATATGTATGGACTGGTAACTTCCATTTCAGTGTATCTGAAGAAGTGTGCATGCACATGAAAGCTTATACCGTGAATAAAACTTTGTTGGTCTTAAAAGTGCCACTGGACTCAAATTTTGTTCTGCTGCTTCAGGCCAACACAGCCACCCCACCTGAATCTGCCTTAGAATGACCTAGAATCCAAATTATTTCAGTGCCGCATAGAATATACTCTGCATGTCCACGAGAGAGTCAATGGGATTATAGTAGTCTAAAGGTCAGTTCATGCATGTATATTCAGAAATGTATGACTCCAGGATCAAGTGGCAGCTCGCGTGTTATGAATGGGCCATGACGAACATAGCGCAGCGGATATTTATTTTACTTACAAAATGTATCTGCTGCCTTTCCAGAGACTTGCTTGAGGCTGTTCAGGACTAAATATGATAAGACCACTCTGGTGCTGCCAGCAGGCTGGGGGGAAAACATCCTTCCCCTTTAATAGAGGCTTAATGTGTAGCTTGTCGGATCTTGGAAGCTAAGCAGGGTTGGCCCAGGTTTGTATTTGGATGGGAGAGCACCAAGGAAGTCCAGGGTTGCTATGCAGAGGAAGGTACAATGGCAAATGACCTCTGCTCGTCTCGTGCCTTGAAAACCCCACGAGGGGTCACCACAGTTCCATCGCGACTTGAGGGCACTTAATTATTGTCTTGATGCATCGAAACAGGCAGTTGTAGCTTCTCATGGCATGGGGCGAGGGGGGAAATAACATTGCCTGGTAAATAACATCCTGTTAAATCTCTTTGAAAGGGACAGGACATTTTTCTATTGGCTGGTTGGCACCACTAAACCACATAGCCATTAAAAATTAGACATTTAAAGGAGCTGCGGTGGCTCAAGTGGTTAAGACGCTGAACTGCAGGCTGTGGAAGGTCGGTAGTTCAGCAGTTCGAGACCCGGGTGCCGCACGATGGAGTGAGCTCCCATCTCTAGTTCCAGCTCCTGCCAACCTAGCAGTTCGAAAGCAAGAAATTACAAGTAGATAAATAGGTACCACTTCAGTGGGGAGGTAACAGCGTTCCGTGCGCCTTGGTTTTTAGTCATGCCAGCCACATGACCACGGAAACGTCTTCGGACAGCGCTGGCTCTTCGGCTTTGAAACGGAGATGAGCACTGCAACCCTAGAGTCGGATTCGACTGGCTTTTGAGCAAGGGAACCTTTACCTTTACCTTTTAAAGCGTAAAAAAACCAAAAAACCCTAAAATATAGAAGACAGTCCTCAAGCTAGAACATACCATAAAGATTATTTTAATGGGTCAAAACCTTTAGTTAAAGCCTGGCTCAAGACAGACTGTTTTGTCCTAGTGCCCGAAAGAGAGGAAGACGGGTACCAGGTGGGCCTCAAAGGGGAAGGAATTCCGCAGATGAGGCGCCACTTTGGAAAAAGCCCTGTCTCTGGTTGCCGCCCACTTCTCGGAAGGTGTGGGCACAGAGAGCAGGGATTGTGAAGAGGATCTTAACTGGAGGGCCAGACAATATGGGAGAAGGTGGTTCTTCAGGTACCCTGGCCTCCCAGCTGTTCAGGACTTAATAGGCAAGAACCTGTACTTTGAGTTGTAGGCAGGTTCTGTCACCTGAAGTGCAATTCTTCCCAATGGAATCTGTTCATACATGCAGGTGCCAGCTAACGAACACAGAGAGTCTCGTGGTGTTTTAAAGAGGAAGGTGATTTTACTCCAGAATAAACTTTCAGGGAAGAATCCACTTCTTCAGACTGGGGCAGGGAAATTGACTGGGACGCACACACAGATGAGCCAACACTGACTTGTGTCCTACCCACGGTTACGAAGTTGTCGCTCGCTGTAATTGTCGTTAATCAGGGTGTGGCAGCAATTTTAGTTAGGAGAGGGGTCACAGCTTTAATTAAAGGAGGAACAATGGTTCAGTAATTGAGCATCTGCTTTGCATATGGAAGATCCCAACTTCAATCCCTGGCGTCACCCATTTAAAGGATCCCAGGTCACAGTGCTGGCAAAGGCCTCTGCCTGATACCTTGAAGAATGATTTCCAGATGGCGTAGACTTTCATGAACTAAATGGACCAGTTGTGTGACTGAAGGCCAAACTAGATGTTACAGCATCCATGGGTCTGACCCATGGAAGCAGATGCCATTTTAGAGACTAATTTGGCCAGTGAAAAATGCTGTGAGGTCATGGTGCGGTGGCCAGGGTTTTTTTTTGCCAGGTGCCACCACACTGCAGCGTTTTTAAATGGCCGAATTCATCTCTCAAATGGCATCAGCGTCCTTGGGTCAGACTCATGTATGCCCTAATGGCTAGTTTGGCCCTCAATATAAGACAGCTTTTTTAGGTTCACGTGAAATGTCGTGTTTACAGTCGGAGTGCTCTTTGTGGTCAAGCCCTTCTCTCCGTCTCACTTTCATTTCAAGTCCTGTTTGGGACATTCACGGTTATGTCTTCCCCGTTTTTATCCTCGCGACAGCCCTATCACATTGGTTAGGCTGAGTGTGTGTGTGTGTGTGGCTCAGGGTCATCCAGTATGCTTTGCATCAGAGTAGGGATTTGAACCCTGGTCTTCCAGATCCTAGTTGGACACTCTGACGCAGAGGTCCCTAACTTTGTGGAGACTATGGACACTTTTGGAATTTTGAGACTATTGAGGTGCTCCAAGACAATCGTCTCCTTATGAAGAAGGCAGATGTTGCTAAATAGGGGCTCCTTGCAGACCCAAAGGTAATGCCTCCTGGGCTCTTCAGATGGACCTCCTCCTCCTTTGTTTCAGGGAAGGTGGTTGCCAACAAACACTGAAGGGTGCCGTCAGGCCCATAGCCAGGATTTTGTGGCTTGTGGGGCAAAACATTTTCTGGTGGGGCTGCCATTATTTTCATGTCTGCTCCAATCCACCCCCAGGCCCAACCACCGGTGGCCACCCCTCTCCCTCCCCTCCTGCAAGATTTAAAGGGCTCTTCGCTGATCAGTGGGGAGGACATGGCCAGCTGATCAGCTGGAGGGCTCTTTAAATCTTGCAGGGGGGAGGGAGAGGGATCCCTTTAAATGCTTTTGAGAAGAAGAGGGGGGGGGGGCTTAAAAATACTAGGGGGTGTGTGTGATTTCAGCTCATACTTTATTAAGTTACTGGATAACTGGAGATGCTTAGGCTGGCCCGCGGCCAGCTAATATCCCCATGTAAACCACACCCCAAACACACACACACACACACACACACACACACACACACACACGTGATACTCTGTTTACAGTGCACTGCAGTCCCATAGGTCCCTTTTCGGATCCTAGCCCTCTGATAGGTGTGTGCTAGGATCCGTTCGGGTTATTGTCTCTATGAGCATGCACGGTTGTACTCAGTACACAACAGGGCCCATATGCACGCCCGCCCCCCCAATTCTTCTCAAAAAATTTCTTCTCAAAAAAATCTTGTGGGGCTGGCCCTTTAAGGAGAGCCAATTTGGTGTAGTGCTTAGGAGCGCGGACTCTAATCTGGCAGAACTGGGTTTGATTCCCCACTCCTCCACATGCAGCCAGCAGGGTGACCTTGGGTCAGTGACATGTTCTCTCAGAGCTGTTCTCTCAAGAGCAGTTCTCTCAGAGCTCTAAGACTTCTTCGGGTAGTGAAGGGCGGGGTATAAATCCAGTCTCTTCTCTTCTTCTCTTCTCTTCCCACTGTAGCTATGGGCCAGGGTGCCAAAGCACCCATAGCACCAGATTGGGGATCAATTCCCTAACCAGTACACCACAGTGACTCTCCAAGGCAGTGGCCTATATCGTTCTTGTTCTCTTCAGTCTCACGTGCCCCTTTTGTGGAGGGGGTCACCATTTTATAAGCAGGAGGTACCATGAAAAGACCCAATGAAAGAAGCCAAGTTATCTGACCCCTTGGTGGTGGTAGAAAGTGCCGTCAAGGCACAGCTGATTTATGGCCTCCCTGTGGGGTTTTCAAGGCAAGAGATGTTCAGAAGTGGTTTGCTACCGCCTGCCTCTGCGTCACGACCCTGGAATTCCTTGGAGGTCTCCCATCCAAATATTAACCAGGGCCGACTGGACCCCTTACGCTAATGTAATCCCACCAACTTCTGCAGGAATAGTCAAAATTAATTGCGTCAGCTCCCAATAACTGAGCTTTAGTGAAAAAAAGCTCAAGCAATTTTAGTAAATTTTAATCTAGATGCTCTTCTTTTTCAAATGAATTTAGGAAGCAAACCGAAGGGGGGAAAGCCTTTCTTGAAGAACCTGGAAGTGGTCTGCTCCATCCCCTCCCGCTCTCTACTGCAGCCCAGCTATTCCCACAGCTTTGGGATTTCGGAAAATTATATCCTGTTTATCGAGCAGCCGTTCAAGCTGGACATACTCAAGATGGCAACAGCCTACGTTCGAGGGGTCAGCTGGGCCTCTTGCCTTGTCTTCCATAAGGACGAAAAGGTATGGTGATGGGCTCCCGGGTTTCCTAAGGGGTGAGGAGTTCCAGGCGTGCAACAACCAGGTTTACCTGCCTTTCAGGTGGGGTAGCCATATTGGTCTGTAGCAACAGAACAGAGTTTGAGTCCAGTGGCACCTTTAGGACCAACAAAGTTTAATTCTGGGTATAAGCTTTTGTGTGCATGTATCTGAAGAAGTGTGCATGCACATGAAAGCTTCTACCCAGAATTAAACTTTGTTCATCTTAAAGGTGCCACTGGACTCAGACCTTGTTCTCTTTCTCTCTTTGGCTGAGAGACGGAGTGCTAATGACTCCCAGTGAGGAATTTCACATTATCCTTTTTAACCCGTTCTGAAGCCGTTTTTGATCCGTCGTGGAGTAAACCGGTATAGGGCTGCCATTTCACACATGGCCTTCCCCTTCCAGTAAAGAGCTGAATCTGAAGGGGTTTGCCATTTCAGACGGCACCGCTTTTTCCCCGCCGTTTTTCACCCGCGCGGGCGATCTCCAGCTTTTTTTTTTAACGTTCGCTTTAGAGCGCTATAGCGCTATAGTGCTATAACACAACACTCCAGGCATCCAGGCATTGATATAATGCAGTTGCGTTATACCGTTATACCATTATAGCACTATAAAGCGAACGTTCCAAAACAAAAACAAAAACCGGAGATTGCCCGCATGGGCAAAAAACGGTGGGAAATAGTGCATCGGAACCGGGAGAGGAAACTGAAGACTACTTGGAAGCGCTTGACAGGTAAAACGCTTCAGCCCCGTTTCCTAAACGGGACAGAAGCGTTTGTG